GTATTTTAGATCAAATAAATGCAGCCTTGGTGAGCAGAAGAGACTACATTCATAAATATTATAAAAATGTTACACTTTTGACCGGTAGTGTAAAACACAAACAATATTCTCATTTTTGCAGTTCCATTTAGGTGACGCTGTAGCACAGAAATTCCCCACTACTCCTTTAAGAAAATGTCCTCAGAGACTCTGACCAGCCCTGAAATTTAGCTGTCATCCACTTTCTCACCGCTGACGGGTCTGCCGGGGGGTCTGGGTCGAGCAGACGTACTGTGCGTCTCTGCCTTCCTAACATCCATCACTGCCCTGCCGAAGATGCCCTCCAGCTCCTTAGCATCGGGTGGAGGAATGGGATAACGGCCGATGGCCAGCTCCACCAGAGAGAGACCCATACTCCACACGTCTGACTGCACCGAGTAATGAGTGCCCTGCAACCTCTCCGGCTGAACTCACAGACACACACACACACACACACACACACACACACAGAGAAAAACACACACACACACACACACAGAGAAAAACACACACACACACAGAGAGAGACACACACAGACACTCAGAGACACAGCGTTTGAAAACTCTTTAAACAGAATCATCACTTCTAACCCTCACTGAAAACACCAGTGGAAACATACCGACATGTACGAGCGTGTTCCTACAAAAGAGTTGGCCATGGAGTCGATGAGCTGGCCGCTCACGCCGAAATCACACAGTTTGATCTCCCCACGGGAATTTACCAGAATATTGGACGGTTTCACATCTGCGAACAAAAAAAAACCCGCATCATATTATTATTAGTGCACTTATTTTTGACAGATACTGACAGAATTATTTTAGCACATTCTAAACTTCAGCTTTTAGTCTAGATCTTTTGGTCGCATTTGTGACCTAAATTGATGTATACAAACTTTATTTAGGAGCACGTGAGTGAATAAAAAAAGACCTGTGGATCCTTACAAAGGTCTTAAATGGTACAACAAACATCCTAATTATCATTTTAAGAGGTCTTACATTTGGGGATGACAAAACAAAAAATCTGACTTTTATTGACACAATAACTAATATATATATATATACACGCACACGCACACGCGCACGCGCACACGCACACGCACACGCACACGCACACGCACACGC